ATTATAAGTGTGAAACGCTCTCCCTCCTGATATCCTACCAATTTTAAGTAAGAAGTTTTCTGCATTTTCACGTTATACTTAGTGCCTGTTAGTATTTTCAAATTTCAATACAAGAATACTTGTGCGTATGAAAAAAAGAATTTAAGTCAAGCAACAAGAAAACAAAACATAAGCAAGCTACAGGAAATGCTAATCAAAGTCTAATAGGAAAAATCCAAAAAAAAAAGTTTAAAATTACTAAATTTTAAATCATGTTTGGTAACAATACTTTAATGGGTTTTGACAATACTGGATTTGTAAGCAAAAACATATTTTTGTAGAAATTTCTTATTTGAAATTTAGTAATTGCAAACGTTTTTCCTTGGAGATTCTCCCAATCTCATATTGGAATTGAAAAAATCATATTAAAATTTAAAAACTTAGCAACGTAGTATGATGCTTCAATGCAATAACTAAGGGATGGTTTGGTTCAACTCCACTGTAAGTATGCAATGATAAGCCTTATTACATTACAATGGATAACCTGTTTGGTTAGGCTTATTGATGGTAATTAATTAATTAATATTGTACTGGTAAAAAAATTGCACATTTTTTTTTTGGAAATATCAATTTCTAGGGGGGCTCCTATGATTATTCATTGCATGTATGTAATCCTTTATAAAATGTCAATTTTATCCTCAATGACCTAAGTGAAAAGACATTTGCCCTTAGCAATTATTATCAACAATACTTCTTCACCATCATTACCGGCCACACGTCTTCCTTCCTCACCTCCTTCTTCATCTTCAACAATGGGACCTGCTTCATTGAGTAGGGCATGCTATTTATTATTTATTGAAGCCCATATGCTGAAGTTTTCTTTGATGCTACCTCATTGTGGGTTTCCCATTGTCATGTTTGTCTAGCTTTTAATCTGGGTTTGTGTTTGTGGATTCGCTCAATGATTTAGGTTTGTGGTTTTAAATTTGATTGAGCATATCTGTTTAGGATTATTATTTGATTGGATCAAGTGCTTAATGGATTTGATCCCGAATGAAAAAAGCAACTGTAATGGGTCAAATGACAAGTTAGTTATGGATGGTGGCATACGATGGTAATCGCGTAGGCGAAGGAAATCTTGGGGTTTCATAGAAACAGTTGAATGGTTGGTCCCTTGAGATCGATAAGTATGGTGATTGGTGAAGATGGAGGTGTGCTAAATAGGGAAGGGGAAAAGTCTCCTTTAGTGGCATTTTGGTCCACATATATTTATATTTAAATTAATTGAAAAATTAATTTTGTCTCCCATCCCTTTAGTATGATACCAAACTAAAAATATGGTAATCAAGATTGCATACATTATGCTCCTCTAGTCCTATTTATAAGACACTTTTTGCATATTTCATACAAACCAAGGGAAACATTAAAATGCATTAACTTTCCATTAAAATATAATGATTTTTCAATTTTATCCATATTTAATATATATGCCTTTCAAAAGAGATAACTACCTACACTATAATAAATAAAGGACAAAATAGTACATTCATATTGAAAATTTAATGAAATGACTTATAAATATATAGGACAAAAGAAAAAATTCTCTCTTTGTCCTATAAATAGGATCAGAGGAGTATATTGTATTACAATGCATTGCATGTGCAATGGAACCAAACGCACCCTTAACTGAATCATCACAAAATAATTGTGTTGCATATAAATGATAGTTGAGTGGCTGTCAAAGATAGAGCCATAGAGGAGTGGTTAAATGATAGTTGTTGACAGATTCTAATGCATATACGGATATGGTAATTTAGTATCATTTCCTGTCCTAAATATAAGAACTAATTGATTAATTTGAGTAGATTGAGAAAATGAGTTATTTGTAATAAATAAGTGTTGTTTTTTTCTAAAATATCATTGTTAGAACTACCATTATTAGGAAAAATAGATAAATATGAGAGATAAAGTGGATTAGGGTCTTATATTTAGGACAAAATAAAAATCAAATGAGGTATTTTATTAAGGACCAAAGTACTTTTTTTTTCAACTCTCAACCTAATCTTTTATGAATAAAGGAAATAAATGCTACCAACATGTAACCAACTGATAGATATCTGTCAATTGAATCAATTCATTTCACATGCAGAGTGGGGGTGAACTATCATAAATTTGATAGCCTCTTCTCAAAAAAAGAAAAATCAACCATGCATCATCATGAGTTGTTATTTCATATATATATATGTATATTTTCTAACTTATGATTTATTTAGACCTGCACTGAAGGAGCATAAGAAAAGGAAGACTAATGATAGTAAATAAGCAAGTGACTCCCTCTTATTTTTATTATAAATCACTTTTATATTAGACCACCAGCATCAATGAAAGTTAGTTATATCATTGAAATTTCTATAAATTGCTTTGATTTCTATATTTACCCATAATAAATATTATTACAAGTTTGCAAAGAAAAATACTTATTTTCCTATCAACCACCATTATTTATGGTGGCCTATATGCTATCTTCTCTATCATGTGACATTCGCGTCGTGTTAGATTTGATCAAGCATAATGGAGAGGGTGGGGATATTCAATTATTACGCCAGCTAATACTCGTCCCGGATTTGATCAAGATTATGATGAAGATGAATGCCTCTTTCTTGTTTGTATGGCCCTCATTTTTTTAATTTGGTCGCCGAATAGTGAAGAAATGTAAAGATTGGATTCGAGTGCGGAATAAAAAATTGTCGAGGGACAGAATGAAATATCGTTAAAGTTGATGCATTGCTCTTTCATCAAAACACTTTCTTGCGTAGTTTTTCTTTCCATAAGGCTATTCTTTCTACTAAGGAATGCTCTTGTTTATGATTGCAACAAAAAAAAAAATACTACTTTCTGTTCTAAATATAAAACCTAATTATAGTATAAATTATATTACAAAGTAGATTTTATATTTAGGACCGAAGATAGTATGAATTTTTGTTTATATTAACTCTCCCTCCATTAAATCCTATATCTGCCTCCGCCTTTATCATGATGTAGACTCTCTAATATTGACATGGTTCGTTTGCCTTCCACAGCTAAATCTCCCCTCTGTCCCCTCTGTACACATGTCTATTTTACAAACAAACAACAGATGTTTGGACATGAAGCATCCTTATTTTTCAATGTCATAAAGCTTTGGACCTTGTTTTGGCCAATGAGGATACTTGCTAAAAAAACGTAACTCTTCTCTTGACGATCTCTTTGAATTTGTTGTCTTTTTGGGATCCTCATGAAGCCAATTTAGGATCAAATGCACTAAACTTGGATAAAAGTGCAGCCAGTAGCTTGATCTTATAATTATTTCTCATGTGTATTCGATACTCTTATTCTTTTTATGGTGTATCTAACACCCTAATTATATTTTTCTAGTGTATCCAGTACCTCGATGTTATTATTATTTTTATTTACATCGAGTGCTAAATGTAACTAAAAAAAATAATATTGAGGTGCTGAAATGCATTAGGAAAATAAAAATAGGGTGTTGAATGCACTATAAAAATGATGGCATATTTGGAAGCACCTAGAAAATATAAGATGATCAGGACACTAGATACAACTTTACCCAATAAACTTCTATCAAATATTGAATGACACTCAGACAACCAATTTACTGCTCTATATGGTTATAAATCTTAGAGTTATGTAAATGATTAATTTACAAATATTAAAAAAATTAGTTAAGTTAGTTATTTATAAAATTTTATATTGGTTTGCTTAAAATATTCCTTCTAATTATTTGCATTTAAAATTCTCTTTACATATGTAATTAATAGAGATAATTTCCAAAAAAAAATATAAATTTTGAAAATGAAGTGAATTGAGGTATTTTATTTTCGACCTAAGCAAGCTCTTCCTACTAGCTTTACATTTAGAACCCGAGGGAGTATTAATGAAGGGCATAGGTGAAATTTTTTAATAAATGAGGTCAATATGTGTTGTTAGCTGTCATACTCTTTTGGTCATATTTATAGTAGAAAAGAAGATATTTTTTATCCTATTTATAGGGTACTAAGAATTTTTTGTGTGCAAATGTACAATTTTATCTTTCATTTATTATTATGTTGGTTTTGTTTACATGAGGTATAATATATATTAAATATGAATAAAATTAAAAAGTTTGTTAAATTTTAAACAAGAGTTAATGAAATTTAAGGTTTTTCTTAGTATATAAAATATATTAGAAGTGATTTATAAGTAAGACAAGATGAGTATTTAGGATTAAAAGGAGGCTCCATAAATTCGCATATGCTACTGTTGCAGTCCTAATGCACGTTCTATGAGGAATTGAGTAATCCTTATTAATTATAGGTCATTAAGTAGGGTATTTATTTATTTTTTTTAAGATTGCGCATATTTAAAATTATAGTTAATTTTTCTTATTTTACTTTTTATGATGTAATTAAGGTTAACTTTGAAATTTTTTTTCATTTTCAAACAAATTCAATGACTTATTATGTTAAAGTGGTGAGATGTTTTATAGCAGGACGAGAGCAGTATGTTAAAACCTACTCCTCTGGTCCTATTTATCAAATATTTTCAACATGTTTTATATACTAGACTTAGAAAAAAATATTAAACTGTATGAACTTTCTTATAAAATATAACAACTTTTAAATTTTATCCTTATTTAATATATACCTTTCAAAAAATAATTATCTATACTATAACAAATAAAGGACAAAATAGTATATTTATCCTAAAAATTTAATAATCTAACTTATAAATAGGACCCAAAAAAATCTTTTCTCTCTTACAAATAAGACTAGAAAAGTAACGAGTAAAGACAATAGTATCACATCCACGCATTCCTAGTTTTATATTTGCTCTTAACCAATGGTTGACTTTCTTCTTTATGAATCTCAAATTTATCTCTCATATTTTATTGAACCCCGACTTTAACAACTGAAATAATAACTTACATTTTGGACCATCAAAAAACTCCAACAAGCTAACTACTATATACTTGACACTAGTAATATTATGAACTTGAGCTCAAATTAAACATATTACATATTTTCATCAATAATAAATAAAATGATACAAAAATATACTTACTGCTTTCATCAAAGAATATTTATTTTGATGAAAAGACTAACATTTAAAAATAGAAAATTATCTTGGAACAAAGTGAATATATCTTTCTCTCAACGTAAAAATCAAGGAACAAAGTACATTGAATAGGTATGGTTACGAATCAAGAGCCGAAAGTGGGTATTGATGGATGCAGTCAGCCCAGGGGCCCCCGTTTGCCTCTCCGTTTATGGGTCTAATACACTCCAAAACGACACTGCAGCACTTGGGCCCGCTGCCCATTCCAATTAGCCAAATCTTATCACCCTTCTTAACTCTTTCCTTGGCTTCCAAGTAACCAACTTCATACCACAGAGAAGATGATGCCTGGTTCCCAAACCTATACAGAGTCATCAATGCAGCTTCCATGTCGCTCTCTGCAAGCTTCAACCCCTTTCCGATCTCCCTTATCACCGGCCACCCAGTACACGGCAGGCAAAAATGATCAACCGCTGTCTTGAAATTCGGCACATGATGAATACCTTGTGTCTTGTTCATCATCTTATTCTTTAATAACGAGACAACGTACCAGAATTTCTCTGTAAAAGGAAGGATTTTAGGACTTAAAATGGAGATATTTGAACGAAGAGTTTCACCAGCGACTTGAAACACATCTCCTTTCAGCGTCACTCCGAGCATTCCCTGTGAATCCTCTTCCCTAAAGGCAGCGAAATAAGTTCTGTCGTCGAAGGCTCTCTGGGTTCTGAGGGTCCTAGTCACTTTGTATTTGGAATAATTCCTCATTTCTTTCTTGTTTGAGAGCAATATCGCTGCACTTCCCATCCGAAACAAACAGTTAAGGATCAACTTGGAACGCTCTTTACCAGGGTACCAACCTGTTGATAAAATCTCAGCGCTGATGACAACGGCGGTGGAGTTCCTGTGAACACTCAAAAGATTCTTAGCCAAATCGATGCCGATGGCACTTGCACTACACCCCATACCAGAGATACTGTAACTTTTAATGTCACTTCGCATGGAATATTTGTTGATGATAATGGAGCTTAAAGAAGGGACAGGACAAAAGCCACTACAGTTCGATATAAGTATGTCGATGTCAAGAGGAGAAACCTTAGTTTTAGCTAAGAGATCATCAACGACAGGAAAAAGAACCATTTCAACTTCTCTTATGGATTCACTATGATGGGATTTGGGAGGAATGTAGTGTAATGCAGGAGGTAGACATGTCTCTTCACTTAGTCCAGAAGAAGTGAGGATCTTGGCCATGAAAGTGACGCTCTCTTTGTCAAAACCAACAGCGGAGGCATTTTCTTGGAACATTGAGAAGGGAACCCTGCAAGAAGCTGGTGGTTTCAGACACGAGTAATCCACGAGGTAAACTGGAGGAGGCTTTGAAAGAAAGTGTTTCAGTGCAAAACACAGAAGAAAAATACAGAGAAGGAGGAAATGGGTTCTAAGTTCAAAGTTTTGCAGGATTAGGAATGCTTCAGTGAAAGCCAGAAGTGAGAGAATCAAAAGCCATAGCAATTCAGAAAGATTTGAAAGGAAATGGCTTGAGAAGAGAGTGATAGTTTCAGTGATATGGGAATCTTGGTTTTGCGTAGATATCGCTTCCATTTGGAATATGATGAAATATTGCCCAGTGGGAGGCGAGTGTTGTGATCTGCACATGAGGAAAGCGATAAATTTAAAGGTGAACGACCGAACATGTCAACTCTTCACCTACGAATGTTGTAGTGGGAATTAGTTTCCGTGCTCGTTGCGTAACACCTCATGTAATTATATCACATGTGTGATAAAATATTTCATTTAAAAATCTATATGTATTTTCAGTATTCAAAACAGGTCATAATTTCAAAATATTTTTTTGACATAGCTTAACACAAAATAAACTATTGAAGTCTTATAGTTATGACAAATAAAAATATAACATAGCATATGCTTGAGAAGTACAGAAACCATCACGGCTCACTCCATCAGTGCGTTCCCTTAATTCCTACTAGATCTTTCATTTGAAAATGTTAATATAAGAGATGAGATCTAACGTCTCAGTAACTATTTAAATTCTAACCTATACAAACAAGTCATACATGACAAACAAAAATCTGATTATATATATTTGTGTATGGAAATCACGAATGTATACATTCAACTTAATTTCATTTTTAATTCAACCATATACCAACATCATTTTTCAATATATCCAAAAATAATGTAATATGCATCTTCTCTTATATCACTGTCTATCCTTATACTGCCGGCTGGAGCTATAGGCTAACACATAATTCAATAGAAACTAATCCATTTTACTGAATTATTCCAAGTTTACCAAAACTGGAGATATACCTAGCTAAAGATATAAAGCTCAAGTTTGGACTATAGCTCCCTTCTTTTGCAAATAAAATAAGGAAGTGTCACATGTTTTATAGTTCCAATAAATTTTCAGCAAAAAAAAAAAACATGGAAGGAGGAGTTCTGACAAGTGCCACCTACTGTGGACCGAATAATGGCATACCACGTGATAATTTTATATCCATGCAAATCTCCTTCTATCCTTAGCTCAACAATGCATATGTCATATGCGATTAATATTACATCAGAAGTACGTCCTCAAATATATTATTAACAATAAGATAGCAATAAAATTTCTGTATCAATAACTATCAATATATTTAAATATTGATAATAATTAATAGCAATAAATCTTAACAAATTAAAGTAACATTAAAACATTTATTTGAAAAGTCATAATACACACACACACATATATATATTTCAATATGGTATAATAAAAATTAGAAAATCCACAATATAATCATGTGAAAGTCATAATACATACATATATTTCAATATGGTATAATATAATCATACATAATTCACTTGTACATGAAAGAATATTTAGAGTTACCTCTACTCTTTAGCTTACAAATAATCACAATAATCCAAAATTCTCAACAAGAGTCTACAAAATTGGACATAAATATTTATTAATATATAAAATAAACTATTCTAAAATTCTAAGACTACCCTCTAAATATATTAACTCCAAAACTATAGAAATATATTAACTCTCCCAAATTTAGCTATTTATAATGGATACAATATTATCTGGAAATTTTCCATATAAGAAAATATTTAAAATTAATGAAATAAATAAATATATATTGCCCAAAATCTAAATATTTCGTATTAAAATCTCGATTATTTATTATAGTCTCACTTAAAATTTTTTCTAAGCAACTCTTTTGAATTATAAGTAAACCATAACTTTATCTAATTTCATAAAATTTTTAATTTACAATTCTTGAAGTTTTTAAAAATTATTTTAACAATATATCTTTGGCCTATTCAATATTTGAACAGATTAAAACCTCAATAATATATTAAATAATTCAAATAAATTATTTAACTTAAATTTAATTAGTAAAAACATTGTATATGTCTTAAAAATAAATATTTAACTAAAATCCTAATTTAAAATTCTCAAAATAATCACAAACCAAATATAAACCGATTAAAATTATTTAATAGTGTATCTTTAAATTTCTATGGTTATATATTGTCAAAACTCATTACTTACTCCATACCCAAACCATGAAATTTTCTCTAAACATTATAATGATACTAATAATACAAAGTCATAAATATATAGGAAATGTCTATAAAAAAATTTGACAAAAGAAAGTATTTTTGTGTACCTAAATGATTTTTAAATCTTGTATTATCCTTCAAAATGCTAACATCTCTGTTTCTCTCACGCTCTCTCTTGCTACGCGTTGCTCTCTCTCTCTGTCTCCCGCTCTCTCTTTTTCTTTCGCTTAACTGTGATGAGGGTATTTAATATCCTCACATTTAATTCCTTTAACCACTCCTCCTTATTTTTAGCATTTCCATACGTTCTTGCCCCCTTTTTCTTTCTTCATTTAATACTCATTTCCCAAAATTCTTCCATCTTAATTACATTTCTTTACCACCCCCACCCTCCAACCTTTCCCTTTTCGATGAAAAAGTGGGGTGTATTTTTTTTAAAATAATAATAAAATATTATTTCAATTATTTTTCTTTTAATTTTTTTAAAAAATATAGTATATTACACATTGTATTGATGAGCACATGATGCTCATTGTTACAATGAATTCTACACTATTTAGATACATTTTTAATAGTCTAGATTTAAAATTTTAAACTAATGATTTTTTAATAAAAAAATTATTTTTTTCAAAAAACTTACGGTTAAATGTTTACATTTATTTTGAATTATCTACCTATTAAAAAAATATTTAAAAAACAAAAATTAACAAGTTTAAATGTCGGCCATCCATATTAAATTTAAATGGTTAAGATTTGATAAGCATCATAGTACTTATCACTAAGATGAGTACCAAAACTTGTTCTGGGTGGTTGTAGTTTTTTTTTTTTTTTTGCCAATTCTGGGTGGTTGTAGTTGGCAGATGAGATTCCCCACAAATTTATTAACTCCGCATATTTTAAATATTTAGTGCTCCGTTCTTATGTAGATATAAGACACCTTTGAGAAGAAATTGATGATTGTTTTTCATTTTTCTTTAGAAGCAAGTTGAGAGTTGTGTTTAGTTTTAAATATAAAACCGTATCCTTTTGTTTTTTATGTTTACTATTTTTCCTCAAATTAAAAATTAATACTACCTCCAGTCATAATTATAAGAGCTAGTTCATCAATTTGAGGAGATTAAGAAAATAAGTTAAATTAGTTATTTGTAATAAATAAGTGTTGTCTTTCTTAAAATATCCTTGCTAATCAAGTGTGTTGGATAGAACTAACATTATTAGAAGGATTATTTTAGAAAAAAAATGCATAAATATTAGAGACAAAGTAGATTGGGATTTTATATTTAGGACCAAAATAAAAATTAAACGAGATCTTATATCAAGGACCGGAGGTAGTATATAATATAATATTATACATAAATATTTTACAAAAATATATGTCATATTTGCTATAATTAACTAATTTATTTGATTTCCTTAAGTCACCCAAATTAATTAAGTAGTTTTATATTAAATATTGGAGGTAGTACTTTATATAAAAAATGGATAATTAATTTCTTTCTTCTAAATTTATATCCTTTCACATTTTTTTATGAATAGGGTAAAATGTATGTGAGAGAGAGTGTGTGTGTGTGTGTGTGTTTTTTTTTTTTTGCCAACAATAGAGAGTGTGTGTTTTTAAATAAGAGTAAATTGAGAAATTGCTTTCTTTTTCATACAGCTACTTCTCTATAATTTTCGGTGAGATAGTTAATGACTTGTATATGACAGCGAAGCAAGTAGTTTTCATGGTTGGTTTGGCTTATGCTTATTTCCAAGAATGAAGTTGATATAAGTCAGCTGAGATCATAATTCAAAGTATTTTTGCAAGTGTCTATTCTTTTACATTTTTGGCCAACGGCAAGTGTCTATTCAATCTCAACTGTTCTCCTAATGATTGATTTGGTCCTAGTTTTACAGCAGTCTAGATACCAATTTGTCAATCTTTTGCAGAAAAGGGCTGAGATCTGGTCAAATGAGTTTTTATGAATGTTGAAAGGCAAAAATAAATATCTTGTTCGTTATTTACATACGAGATTTAATTTTATTTCTTAACTTTAAATAGAATATCTTTAGTCCTTAATTTTAAAATCGTTAGTCGACTATCACAATGATTTTAAAAAGTAAACGTAATATGTTAATATTTGTAAATATTTTATTAATACTTAAAATATTAATATCATCATTTCTTTATTTTTTTTTGATAACAACTGGGAAAACCTTAGACACGATCGCGAATAGCAATGCGATCAGAATTCAAAATAGACAGAAGTTCATCAGGAACAGAAACGACTAAATGAAAACCGCTCATTGCCGAGAGACCCTCCTTTGCTAAAAAATCCGCCGCTCTGTTATGTGAACGACGCACGTGTTGAAGTTTCACAGTCCAGTCCCATGCCAACATCTCTCGAATCTCCTTAATGACCCCGTAGTCAGCATGGTGCCCATCCGGGAGAGCTGAGATCAGATCTAAGGCATTACTGGAGTCAGATTCCAGTATTAGTTGGCGGTATCCTCCATCCCAGGCAAGCTTGAGTCCGAGGAGGCACGCCCATAGTTCTGCATGGAGGGCATCGCCATCTTCAAGTCGATGCATAAACCCCTGCATGAAATGCCCATCATCATTGCGGATAACACCACCACTTGCGCATGCCGAATTGCTATGTGAGAAGGCTCCGTCAACGTTCAGCTTAACCCATCCATGGGTCGGGGGTTGCCAAGCATGAGCCTCCCTGTGTCGACAGATACCTGGGAGTGAAGCACCAGACAACTTGCACTGTGCCGTGTGTAAGTTACTTAGAATGCCCATAGAACTTGCAATCACAGCTTCGTTACTGATAGATTTCTTCTAAAAAAGAAAAAGATTTCGTCGTCGCCAAAGCCACCAAGCGATGATGGCAAACAAGTCCTTCCATTCTTTCCCCCGTATCATGTTGGTAGTAAGGTTCCATCGCACCTACTCCTTAAACGGTCGGTGAGGGTCAAAAAAATTTTTCCACTGCGGACGAGGCACAAGGGCACTCCATAGAAACCTAGTCTGCTGACAGTCACGAAAAACATGAAGAGAGTCTTCCACGTCCTTCTGGCACACGGCACAAATATTATCATCAGTTAGCCCCCTCTTTCGTCGGATGACATTGGTAAGGAGGCTCTGTCGTGTTGCGAGCCACATGGTAGTTCGACAGCGTTGAGGAACTTTGAGTTTCCATATTTTTTCCCAGATAGGTTCTGACGACACATCAGTGGCCGAGAGAAGATTATATGCTGTCTTTACACTAAAAACCCCGCTACGATCATGCTTCCACCTCGCCATGCTTCCATTTGCCGTTATTTCTATTCCCTCCTCGACCTTTTTCCAGGTCTTCTTAATCCCCGACCAAACATTAGAACCCGATCTTTCAGTATTGATCTTAGGCATAAGATCGTCACCACATTTATATTTATCTCTGATCACTCGCACCCAAAATGCATCTCGGCAATGGACAAGTTTCCATCCGAGTTTCATAAGGTGAGCATGATTTTGCAGCTTCGCTTGCCTCAAGCCAAGACCCCCTTTAGACTTAGGTTGGTAGACCGCGTCCCATGCGACGAGAGAGATTTTTTTCTGTTCCTCATTATTCCCCCAAAGAAAAGCTCAGTTACATTTATCAAGTGTTTCGCACGACGGGGCTATTAGCAACGTTGTCTGCATTGCATAGCTAGGTATGGCCGACGATACAGAGTTAATCAGCGTCATCCTCCCTGCCAAGGACAAGGAGTTCGTCCTCCATTGGTTTAGTCGATGTTTGACTTTGTCAACTACTTCCTTGAAAGAGTATTTGGTCACCTTTTTGTGTAGCAAGGTAACTCCCAAGTATTTCCCCAAATCTATTTGTGTGAACCCCATGCACGCACTAATCTCCGAACATCTGTTATGATTAACATGGGGAGAGAAGTACACACGGGTTTTTGAGGAATTTACCTTCAGTCCCGAGGAGCTGCAGAAAATATCTAGGCACTGCTTAATCAATTCCGCCTGATCCATTGAGGCTTCTGCAAACAAGATAATATCATCCACGAAGAAGAGATGTGAGATAGGGGGGCCATTTTTAGTGAGTCGGATTGGTCCCATTCCTTACTGTTCATCTTCTCCTGTATAAGGTGTGCAAACTTTTCCATGCATATAACAAAAAGGTATGGGGACATTGGATCTCCTTGTCGGATCCCTCTAGAAGACACAAAAGTTTCTGCTTTATTCCCATTCCATAGTAGTTGCATCGTGGCTGAGCTAATACTGCATTGTATTAAATTTGTAATATTGGGAGGAAGCTTCATTTCTTTCAAGCAACTGATCAAGAATTCCCAATTCACTCTATCATAAGCCTTCTCAAGATCAATCTTAATAGCCATTCCTTCCTTCCTCTCATGGTACGCATAGAATGGATCACTTCTTGCGCCACAATAATGTTGTCCGAACCAAGCTGACCAGGGACAAAACCACATTGATTAGGAGAAATAATTCGGGGCAGGATAACTTTCAACCTATTAGATACAATCTTAGTAATCACTTTATAGACCACATTGCAGAGACTAATGGGTCTTAGGTCTTTCAGCACTTCTGGAGGGTCTTTTTTGGGAATCAAGACTACAAACGTGCCATTAATTGTTTTAATGTCTGTCGGATTCGAGAACAAATACTTAACGTAGCTTACCAAAGATTTTCTGGTAATACTCCATTGAGTTTGGAAGAATAGAGCATTAAAGCCATCGGGTCCTGGTGACTTCAGAGGGCCCATACTGAATAAAGCCTCTTTCACTTCTTGTTCGTCCACATCTCTCCCACAAGCACGTAAGATAGTCTCATCAATAACTGGGTATGACACCGCGCACGGCAACACAGCACGGTGGGGGGAGTCTTCGGTGAACAAAGTAGCAAAGTAAGCAGTGGCTTCGTGTTTTATCACTTCCAGATCATAGCACCAGTCTCCTTCCAAGCGTAAAGCATCCACTCTATTAGTTTTACGGCGCCTGTTTGCACGAGCATGAAATAGCTTAGTGTTCCTATCGCCATAGACTGACCATTTGACTCTCGCCTTCTGTGCCCATATAAGAGCTTCTTGGCTAATAATTTCTTCCAGCTCCTTCTAGAGTTGCACCTGGAGGTCCTCATAGTAGCAAATATTAGTTCCTCGTGCGATGGCTCTGTTAAGTCCATCCATACGTCTCAAGAGCTTCTTCTTCCTGCCTTCAATATGTCCAAACACCTGTTTGTTCCAAGAACTACAAGCCTGTGCGAACTGACGCATGTTATGATTCCACTCCACGTCCTCCTGCCAGTTATCTTGAACAAACTTGTGAAAATCCCCATGAAGTACCCAGGGAGCTAGGAACCGAAACGGCCTGCATGGGTGATCATCATGTTGTTTCAGTTGAAGTAGAATTGGTCGGTGATCAGATTTATAGAAGGGCAAATGAGACACACGTGCATTCGGAAACAGACGGCACCAAGCCTCATTTGCTAAGTAGCGATCCAGGAGTGCCTCTGTACTGCCTCTTTTCCATGTAAAGTAAGGACCCACGAAACCGATATCTGTCAAGGACGAGGATTCGTACCAGTTGCAGAAATCACGGTCTACCGAGCAGCCATTCGGAGCGACTGTGTGGCGTTCAGACGAGAAAAGGGTGGCGTTGAAATCTCCCCCAATGATCCAGGGATCATGCATGGCGCTGTCAATGCGGTGAAGTTCACCCCAAAGAGACCGACGATTCATCACATGGGGGTTCGCATAAATAACAGTGAAGAAATAGCGCTCTAGTCGTGAGGTCTCTAAATATAGATGTAAGAATTGCCGATGCCTTTCTATCACTTCAACTTTTCGAACTCCAGCGTTCCAAAGGCACCAAATACCCTCGCTGTATCCTTCTGCTTCTATAAATGTGTAGTCATGAAAACCAATCCCACCGATTCTTTTTTCAGTTTTCTGTTTGTCTGAACGAGTTTCTACCAGGGCAAGGAAATCCAGAACAAAGTGTTTTTTCAGGTCTTTTATCAGGCTAGGAAATGACTTCGCGCCTGTACCACGAGAATTCCATATCATGTAATTCATAAGGAAACCGTTGTGGTGAAAGGGGAAACTTCACTGTCCCTCCCCTGGACAACATCCACGTTCGTTATCATCTTCCCGTCATGCACCTCAGGCTCCTGATCGCCGCCCATTACTACGTCCCCCCCTGTGGGCAGGGAATCGTGCACTGTATCCGAAATCTGGGAAGTCGCAAGCCCAAGTGATTCTGGTCCACTAGGTTGGTTGTGGACTAATGGTTGATTTTGGGGCTCGTCTTCCGTCACTGGCCCAGTTTGAAGGTGAGTAAAAGGGTTATATAACTCCACGGGATTTTCATTAAGGTTAATTACTTCTTTGTATGGTGCCTTTGCTTTTTTAGGAAAATTTTCTTTACCTCGTACTTTTATTTTATCCACCACTTTCCGTTTGGAGCCGATCAACGTCCAAGAATTTGAGTCAAATTCGTCCCCAAATTTTCGGCCATTAATATGTGCATCCGAGATTTGCTCTTTATTTTTTCCACCAACAGGTTTATAAACTTTCTTAATCCTTGAATGATTCTTTCCCATTCTTCCGTTTCCGTTCTCCTTCTTATCCGAGCTATTAATACCCGAACCAGTTGCCTTATTATCCGCTCCTTGATTTCCTCCATCAGATCCCTTTTTCCCTGTGATCATACTACTCCGGCGAAAATCTCGCCTAATCAGCATATGGGGTCCTAGATGCACGTCCGCCACCATCGGTGGGTTTCCGGTCACCGGAGGTGCTGGGAGATCTTCACCCATTTCTCTTTGTCCTATAGTACTCCTGTTCCCATCCGTGTTTGGTGTTACTGCCTGTGTACAATGTTGCTTTTCATGACCATATTTCCCACATTGAAAACACACCTGGTGCAAGCCTTCATATACTAATTGCCATTCTTCTCCAAAAGCCGTGAAAGCTGACAGTAAAGGTTGTTGAAGGTCTATCTCAACACAGATGCGAGCAAAACCCCCTTTATCATAGATTGAAGTAGAACGATCTATTTTAATAGTTTTGCCAATCATATTTCCAATCATACCCAGAGATTCCACATTATAGAATTCCATTGGGAGGTCAGGAATACGAACCCAAACTGCTATTTTACGTTGCAAATCCGCCTTCCATGGGTTGAAGTTTGGTCTCCACCTTTGCACGAGTAAATAATGGTCGTCGATCATCCAAGGTCCTTCCTGAAAAGCATAATCCCTGTCATCTCTATTCCCAAAGGAGACTATGTAGTAGTCATTGCTAAGCGGAGTAACTTTCATATGCTCTGTTGGTTTCCACATCCTTCGTACTCTATCGATTAACACATGTTTCGGCACCCGTGCCCCCAACAATTTGATAATTAGTGAATTCCACCACGGTTGGCACCAAGCCGTATATTGCTCGACAGATACTTTCAACTCCAGGTACCGTGGTGTAATGGTGGTCCCCTCGGTCTCTATTCCTTCTGTGTCTTCCACGTCCCTCCTCTCCTCCGTGTTTTGGTTCCTTTTAGTGAAGAAGGATCTCCACCCATTCACAATATCTTCATTCTCCTCATGCGAGACTAAGAAACCTCCACACCCCGGGGACAAAAGCTTTTCTTTGTAGGACCAAGGCGCCATTCTTCTGTTGGGTAGCGTAGAAGTTTTTTCCTTGACCCTCTCCGCTCCCTTGCTTGACCCACTACTAGCTCCAAAGACAAATCTCATCGGGCTGTCTCCTCTGTCTCCCATCTCCATCCTTGGATCGCACTCTTTTCCTTCTCCTCGATCACCCTCTCCAGCACCGCCGATGTCCTCGTCACCGTCGCTCGCTCCACTCATTCTCTCTCTAGGGTTATTTAAAAATTCGTAGAGCCGTGATCGGCTTGGTTCTCACTGGTGGGAAATTTAATTGATTTAATATCATCATTTCTTAACAATAGTATTAGGGTTAAATAACTAAAAATATATCTTTTAAAATAATGCGGCCAAATGCAAACCCTCTATAAAATTAAAAGACAAAAAGTGTATATACTTTGGTGATGTTAAAAAGTCAATTATCATTATATTCCCTTGCTCCTTAAATATAATATATGGTGGCCATAATCACATAGACTAATAACGAGCTTCTTTATATTTGAATAATTTTTGGTTCTCGCCAAATCTGCTCCTGATTAAACATGGGTATTTTTCTTAAGAGGGCATTTATTAAGGGTAGGAAGAAAACCATGAAACAGGGGCAATTTTAAACAATTTAAACTATTATAGAATTTTGAACTATTGGCAGCTTAAAAAGCTAGCTTATGGGAGCAAGATTAAATTTGACATTTGAAGAATTGGAACTCTTTATGCCACATCTAGGGAGATGTGGAAGTAATGAAAGATCAAAAGAATAATATCTTGTGCCTTTAGGAAATTAAATGGGTTGGAGAAAGGTCTCGAAAAAAAAGACCTTGGTAAATGAACAAAGTATGTATAAGGAATGATGTAGGCATCATAGTATATAAAGATTAGAAGAAGAATGTGGTGGAAATTAAAAGGTTGGAGATAGAATTATATTTGCAAGAATGATTGTTGAAAGGGATATTATTGATCAACATTGCCAGCATTTATGCACCTCAAGTAGGGGTAAAAGCAAACATTAATAAGAAAAAGTCTTGGGAAGATGTGGAGTAGCTGATTCAAAGCATGCCACTTCTCGAAAAGCTTTTTATTGGTGGGGGCAGAGTAGCTGACTCATGGGGGATTTGGTTTTGGGGGTGGAGGTTCAACTTGTGAGCTGGAGGATTTTACAACTAGAGAAGGCGAGCACAATTTGTTTTTCGATAAGATCCGAGTGACGAGGTTAAGAAAAGCTCCTAAAAATAAAAAATAGCAAAACTGTTGGATTTGATGACATCGCTATTGCAATCTGAAAATGTTCGGGCAAAGGGGGTATGTTGTGGCTTTCAATACTATTTAATGAGATTTTATATTCCAAGAAAATGCCTAATGATCAAAGTAAAAGGTGATTATTGAACATAGGTTGATATTAGAGACCTGTATTTTTGAGAACTAATTTGTATTCATGCTGAGAAGGTTCACAATAAGAGCAATTTATTTACTAAGAGGAAAAGTATCAAAACAAAGAAAGAGACTTGTATATAGTTTTCATTAACTTGGGAAAATAAACTTATAATCACGTGTCAAGAGACACATATTGGAAAGCCTTAAAAAAGAAAGTGTGCATGTATGCTGCATATAACAAAATCATACAAGATATGCTAATAGGGTAAATTAGTGAAACAAAAAACATTCTTATAAGGATTGACCTACATTATAATCATCTTTGATCTCTAATTTGTTAACCTAGTTCTAAATGTTTCATATAAGAAATCATTGCACAAGTGGCAAAGTTTTGGATATCTGGGATGGTAAAATTAATGAAAATGTTAATCATAAAATTTAAGATGGGTGGTTTAATTAAACGGAAAAAATTTATTGGAGTTATTTAATAAGAAAGTACCTAATAAAGTAAAAGTGAAGTTTTATTACGCTTTTATAAGACCAATAATACTACATGGCAGTGAATGTTGAGTTTTAAAAGCACAAAAAAAAAAAAGGACAACATAAGATAAAATAGGGGTACTTGAGATTAGCATGTTGGGGTGAACGAGTAGTCATGAGAGAAAAGATAAAACCCATAATGAACGTACACAAAGAAGAGTTCAAGTGTCGCCTTTTAAAAAGAAAATGACAAAATCATTTGAAGTAGTTCGAACACATTTAGAGAATATCATTTGATGCATCCATGAGGAGGTTTGATCAAGTTGCATGGTGTCTATACAAAGATTTAGCTGTCAATAAAATACATTGATACCGTATAATTTATTTAGCTGGCCTCACTTTATAGAACAACGCTTGGTTATTATTGTGTAGAATTTTGAACTATGTACTATAAAATAGCACAAAAGAAGCTAAAAAAAACTACGTATTATATTTAAGGATAGACGGTGTATAATTATCGTAAGAAATTAAACTACTGTTTTTGAATGATGATAAGATTTTTTAGGTACATAGGTTAAATTGTTTAGTTGATTTTGTTTTTCAGTACATTCGATATGCCACCATACTAATTAATTATTTATACTTAATTACTAATTGCTATATTACATAACAAAAGAATATCATGAATTGAATATATAATCCGGCTTTTCTCATTTTTCCTCACCGTCTGCTCCACTCCTTTACGCCAAAATTAACTACAACTTTTTTGGGTTAAAATAGCGGAGTTGAACACTTTTCTTTATTTTTTTAAAAACAAAAAGTATATAGCATCTTTACGTATTTTTTTAATAATATTTTGTATCCTAAATTAATTTTTAATGTATCCAATGCTATAAAATATTGGTGTAGCAGCATCTAATATCTAACACCTAGCACTATAAAATATTTTCTAATAGCACCCAAGTATCTTAAAATGATTTTTAGTACATTAATTAGCACTACAAAACATTTTTTATTACAACTCAATGTCTCTTAAAATAATTTTTAGTATAATTTTGCCTGTAAAGTGTTTTTCTCCACTATTGCGAAAAATATTTTAGGATATTGAGTGCTATATAGAAAAATATTTCAAGATACTATTAGAAAAATATTATAGGGTGTTAAGTGTACTAAAAAGTAATTTTGAATACTGAATATAAATATTACAGAAAAATACTTATAATATGAAATGATTTATTTATTTATATTTAGTTACAAAGGCAAGCTATAGCTTGAGAAAAGCTTATTAGCCCATATGAGCATTGTGCTCTTCAAAAGACTTGTCTCGGAGAAGTCGATCTCTGCAACTATAGGTGACTTCTGGCAGCAACCGCGCCTGGAAATCCTCTGCCTGAGCTTCCTTTGCTAAGATGTCAGCACATTCAATGTTCTCTCCTCCAGTGTGAAGCAATTGGAAATTGCCATCACTCAACAGAAGGTTTCTGGCCTCTGTTGTCTCTGCTCGAAAGTCGAAACGTGAGAGCTAGGTCTCCATTCCTGAGCAATATATTGATTGCG